TGTATACTGTACATATTTGCAAAACTCGTGTCCCACCATCCCCACAGGCCCGACACGATGTCAATGGAGACTGCTCAAACCGAATTGAGGTTCAAGTAGGGAAGAACTTATAGCAGTCGCATTTTCTAAAGTTATTGTTCAGACCTGTTCTACAGTGAACCACACAAAATAATTATTTTTATCATATTTTATGTGACTTCGCTTAACTTATTTTGAAAACATTAGGTGTAATGGACAGCAGTAACATTTTATAGTGGTCCATTTTCGTGCGGTGTACCGTATGCAGATTTCCAAGGTCGCTTTTATTTTATTACAAAACAGGAAAGAAAAATGACATGTGTGTAGGATAATACCATCATGAATACTAGAGGGCGCGGACGGCAGATCATAAATATGACAGTATCTGAACACTCCACTCCACATGTGCGCGAGTGGGATGTCCCAGGAGATGGTACGTCTTGGTCTCCACACATAGCTCAGATTGACACCTGCATACTGTAGTGGTAGTGTATATATTGAATATGGTTTGACCATATGGCGAGCAGTATTATTAAAAAATTAAATAAACTAATTACTATTCTAAAAGCATTCGTTAGGGTGGATGGAAAAAATGCACCGCCGTTAAACCAGCAACATGGTCAACAATTCAATATAATTCGTAGATTTACATGGAACATCACAGCTGCATCACTGTCAAAATTCAGTTGGATAATTCAGAGATTATTCGTAAGGCAAACAGTCAAAATTGACTTTAAATTATCAGATACCTTATAATTATAAAACAGAAAGTAAATAAAAATGCGTCTATTAGCACTTAAACATGTATTTACACTTCTCTGCAGACTAGGCTAAGTGTGATTCCTCTTAGATTTTTACTAAGATATTTCCTTTCAAAACATGTTAGGTTTATTACATATTTAAGTAGCATTAGGTAGGTTTATCGAGTTTGCTGCTACAGGGAAGAAAAAAGGGGGTTAAGGTTTAATGTTAATAGTATAGTATGAAGTAAGACCAATTTGTCAAATTTTATCAAAATAAATCCGTAAACAAGCGACCTACAACAGTTTACTTTGTCGCCATATGATTAACATGGGAATGTACAGATTTTTTTTCCGTGACCTTTCTTCTATACATCAATGCTTCAAAATACTAAATCCTGTTTTTATAAAGTGTACACGAGAAAACTTAAGCTTAAAACCAACAAAGAGTTGCTCGACTATAGGCAATACGAAATCGCTGAGTGAGATAGTGATTAATATTTAGTTTTTTCATTAGTTTGCTAAAATATTGATTAAAAAATTCTTTTCCATTATCAGATTGAATGTTTTTAACCCCCTTTGGTAGAATGGTTTTAATGGCTTCTGTAACCACCAACCCTGTCTTATTCTTTAGTGGAGCAGCATACGCTTTTTTAGAAAATGCATAGGCGGATCTAAGCCCCAAAATGTGGGGGGGCTATGCCAGGGGGTCTGGGGGGTATGGAATACCCCTCAGGGTGGAGGGCGAAAATTTTTGAAAAAATATAAGCTCCAAAGACGTATTTTAGGCTATTTTTAAATCAACATAAAAGGAATTACGGATTCAGTGAACATGGTAACGGGTGTCCCAATAAGAACGCCGGATTTAAAATTTTAATAAACCATATATTTCCACGGTAAATTTACAATATGAAACACGAATCTTAAAGCATAGTATCTCCGATTAGTAATGGAATATTATGTCTCTTAAGTGCCCACCTGCTGACTGCTGACAAGCCAGACATCTATTGACGAAGTTTTCCATACCTTTTCCACCCACTTCATGTTGAATTCCATTAAAGGCACGAATAATTTCCTCCTTCAGGTCTTGGATTGTTTGAGATTTATTGACAAAAACAAGCGACTTTAAACATCCCCAAAGAAAGTAGTCTCACGGCGTTAAATCGCACGATCTTGCTTAGATGAATGTGTGCGTCATCGCCGAACAGCAATGCTTTTTTACAATTTGTCATTTTCATCTTGATTTCCAAGCACCTAGTTTACAAATTCAAGCCATTTTACAGGATCTCTTGGCTTGATCTCTTCTTTGAGTTGGATTTTTGAGGGAACATGTGAAGGTCTTTTATCAAAATTCTTTGTACTGTGCTCCGAGCTAGGCCCAACTGCTGACTACGCCGACGAATTGATGTTCTTGCGTTGTCCTCTACACTATCATGTACAGCATCAATATTTTCAAGGGAAAAACCTGCCCGACTACGCACTGGTCTTTTAATGTCCAAAACTGAGCCAATTCCTTCGAACTTAAAATTAATTTTCAGACAGATGACTCATTTTGTGCATTATGCCGGGCGAAAATAGCGCGCAGCTTCCGCACCGTTTCAGCGAAACATTCCCCGTACTTGTAGTGCACTTTAACTATGACCACGCGTTGATCCGTCATGTAACGATTCATGACTACAAATGGGACATAATACTGATAACATCGCTGATAATTTGGGAATTCCTATTAAAATACAGATGAGGATAAGACGCTCCTGAAATCCGGCGTTCTTACTGGGACACCCTTTACTTGAAGGACCTTGTAATTGGCTAATTTACGAATTCCATGTAAGAATTTCACCCTTACACATTATGGAAAATAGCTGACATAAGATAAAAGAAAGGAACAGACTGATCTAAACCCTAAACGTGTGTATACTGTGTACCTAGGATCCTAAATTAATTGCTGGTTTGTAGCATATAACTCAGACCTTCTCACACACGAAGTCAAGAACTTTACTTTGTCTATATTGAGAGCTCCGACATCTTTTGGCAATGGTAAGACGTTATTTTGTACCACATAAAAAGTTAAAATTTATGGTGTCTAGTTTATTTCCATTTAAAAATTCAAGAATAATTCCAGACATTTTCAGACGAATGCCAAATTTTTCAAGACTGGATTTTTCAACAATTAGTGATGTGTTGATACCAAAATGTAGCGATTCTCAATTCTTGATACTAATGCCAATTTTTATAATTTAGCCAAATTTTTGAATTCTACACCAAACCCTGTCTTGATGTCATAAAGTAATAATAATATGTAATGGGGTGTTTTAAAGTAAAGAAAAAATGCAGCAATAAAAATTCAAACTAGCCAATTTGGATTTTTTGGATGATGAAAATCTTCCACGACCAAGTAGACATTATCATTAACTGCCTCGGACGTCGACGTTGCCAATCGCAATCGCGGCAAAATTATGATCATTTCCCGCGGCCGTGTAGACATTATCATTGACTCCCGCGGCCACGGCAACGTCTGGCGTCGTCTGCGATGATCGCGGCAAAACTATGATAATTTCTTGCGGCCGTGTAGACATCATCATTGACTCCAGCGGCCACGGAAACGTCATCGGCGTCGTCTGCGATGATCGCGGCAAAATCATGAAAATTCCCGGCTTTCATATCAAAATAAAGACTAAATCCCTACTTTTCAAGACCGATTTGAAATTCAATACCAATTCCCGACTTTCCCGTTTTTTCCGACTACTATAAAATAATAATTTTATAGTAGACAAGTGAGATATTTGATGACATAAATAGTCCAAATATTACACAATTTTTCTCAATGGGTCGACATAAAAATATTAACTGTTTTTACTTGTGTCAATCTTACAGCAAAGTACACAAACATTTACGTGATAATGTAAATTTCCTAATATTATTCAAACAAGATGATTTAAGTTTAAAACATTTATATCACAATCATGTTGGTAATGGCTTTTCATTTGACCAATTTAAAAATCTCTGCCACCAGTGCCACCAATGTTGGGATAAAACTAAATATGGATTTTTTGTAATAATTGTTTGATAAAATGGTATAAGATTACCTGTGTCCGTCTATGATCCTAAATTTGTAGTAATGATGAGCACAAAATAGAAGACATAAGTACAGAAATTTAATTCAAATAATCAGTTGCGACATTCTTTCATGTGGGGGATCCAGTGTTCTTGCGGCCGTTGATTTTGAAAGATTGGTACTTGTGGTATGCCTGGGAACATGTGCGGACGATAAGGCGGCACAGTCCGGGGGAGGCATCATCTGATGTGGACCTCTAATCCTCTGCATTTCTAAAAGCAGGTAAAAGCCCTATTTACCTAGCAATTTGTATAGCTTGTATTTACCTCTGTAAATATAGAATACATTAAAGAATCTGTATCTGACATAAAAAATCTTTTGTTCTTTAATTTTGAAATATAATTATAATGGAAATCATACATTATTACTTTACTTATATCCAAAATTGTCATTCCTAAATATATAGGTTTATTAAACTTTACAACTAATTTATTTAAATGAATAGCATGTAAATTGTTATCAAACATTTTGCTACAATCAAACCTTGGATTAGTGACATATTTTGTTAATATTGACTCATCTTTGAGATATATATCATGAAACTTGCGTTAAACCATAATTGTTCGATAAAATGGTATAAGATTACCTGTGTCCGTTTATGATCCTAAATTTGTAGTAATGATGAGCACAAAATAGAAGACATAAGTACAAAAATTTAATTCAAATAATCAGAAGATTTACATCGGTTTGATTTACACATGGAACTGTAAAAAAATATTTTCTCTTCATTACAAAAATGCAAAACATATTACTTTAAATTTGCAATTAAGTTAGAATCTCTTGTTAAAATTGCCATCTTTAAAAAATCAAATGTCTAATTGGCAGAAACACATAATAATCAGGTAAGTTCTATCACTTTGGAGTCCAGACCAGTAAGATCTATAGGTTCACTGGTCGGAGGAGCCGAGGCCAGCTACAAGTCCATCAGGTCAAACAATGGTGGTGTGTTATCCTCACTGGAGGTGATAGTGTGCACTCTTGTGGCGGCTGGCGTAGGAATTTGAAACATTGGATTGTTGCGTATCGTCCGCACATGTTCCCAGGTATACCAAAAGTACCAATCTTCCACAATCAACGGCCGCAAGAACACTGGATCCCCCACATGAAAGAATGTCGCAACAAACAATATGACCCAGAGGAGAGGTCATTCGCGGCCCGCTGCTGTGGTCAGTCCGCACCGGCTGAACTTCCACCAAGTAGATCAAGAAACGGAGAACCAAGCGGATCAGGTCAAGGAGCTTGAAATGAAGTTGAAAGAAAAAGAAGAGCAGGAGGAGAAGGTTAAAAGAGAAATTGATGGCTTGGAAGATGACCTTATGCGCAGTATTTGTGCTGAACTTTATATAGAACCTACTGCGCTAAACTGCGGAAACATGTTCTGCAAGCAGTGTATCACTGAGTGCAGCAAGAACAAGAAGATTTGTCCGATGTGCCGAGCAAACATTGTTACCACAGTGAGGATCTTCAACATGGACTCAATGATGCAGATAAACATTCGATTGATGTCGGAAGAAGCCCAGTCTCGACGAGAAGCGCTGATTACTGAACGAAAGAAACGTAAGACACCACAAAAAAAAAAAATCTTCAAAGAAAGGGCGCAGTGAGCCTGAAATTCCCAATCAATTTTACGCTGCTGAAATACACAATCCATTTAACTGATTTAACCCTACTGAAATGCCCAATACATTGAACCTTAATCAAATCCCCAATCCATTTAACCCTGCTATGAATAACAATCCTGCTGGGCGCCGCCACCGCAGGCTCCGCATGGAAATTGCTCGACCAGCTGAAGATACACCTCAAGAATCAGAAGGGGGTCCATTTCAAGCGGGATGGTTGAGAGGACGGAATCTGCCACTCTTGGCGGACTCAGGCAGATTCTCTCCCGTCACCATCGCTGCGGTCGATCTCACCAACAATCTAATGTTTCAAATTCCTACGCCAGCCGCCACAAGAGTGCACACTATCACCTCCAGTGAGGCTAACACACCACCATTGTTTGACCTGATGGACTTTTAGCTGGCCTCGGCTCCTCCGACCAGTGAACCTATAGATCTTACTGGTCTGGACTCCAAAGTGATAGAACTTACCTGATTATTATGTGTTTCTGCCAATTAGACATTTGATTTTTTTAAAGATGTCAATTTTAACAAGAGATTCTAACTTAATTGCAAATTTAAAGTAATATGTTTTGTATTTTTGTAATGAAGAGAAAATATTTTTTTACAGTTCCATGTGTAAATCAAACCGATGTAAATCTTCTGATTATTTGAATTAAATTTTTGTACTTATGTCTTCTATTTTGTGCTCATCATTACTACAAATTTAGGATCATAAACGGACACAGGTAATCTTATACCATTTTATCAAACAATTATGGTTTAACGCAAGTTTCATGATATATATCTCAAAGATGAGTCAATATTAACAAAATATGTCACTAATCCAAGGTTTGATTGTAGCAAAATGTTTGATAACAATTTACATGCTATTCATTTAAATAAATTAGTTGTAAAGTTTAATAAACCTATATATTTAGGAATGACAATTTTGGATATAAGTAAAGTAATAATGTATGATTTCCATTATAATTATATTTCAAAATTAAAGAACAAAAGATTTTTTATGACAGATACAGATTCTTTAATGTATTCTATATTTACAGAGGTAAATACAAGCTATACAAATAGCTAGGTAAATAGGGCTTTTACCTGCTTTTAGAAATGCAGAGGATTAGAGGTCCACATCAGATGATGCCTCCCCCGGACTGTGCCGCCTTATCGTCCGCACATGTTCCCAGGCATACTACAAGTACCAATCTTATGTTAGTATAATGTAAAAACAATATCATCAATTAAGCTGTATGTTGTAATAATAACCTATAATAATACTATACTTACTATACTTACTACTATACTTACCTATATAATAAATCCCTAAAAAAATTCTCATTTAATGATAATAATAAGTTGTATGAGAAAAGAGCGTGTATCTGAGATATTCTTGCGTAGAAACAAGCAAAAATTACATCACGCTTGGTGAAAAACACACTATGAACCATACGCATCATGTGGTTTGCTTGAACTGGCTTGCTGCATTTTTAGACAAAGGCATAGCAACAATCTACTACTTCAACTATTTACCAGGCTGAGACACCTACTAAGGTAGAAATCACAAAAACCCCGTCTTGCCCTCAACCCTGTCTTGCCCCACCTTCCCCTATAAAAAAAAAAATGATGGCTACAGTTTACAACCTAACTAGCTGTATTTATTAGTAGTAATGGTATATGTAATTTTAATTGTGTTCTTTTAAATCTACTGGCTTAAACTTTGATTTGAGAATAGAATGTCAGCCGATCACTTTTCAAAAGTCTACCTGCAGTAAGGAAAAAATAAAAAGCAAAGATTTTACGAGCAACACATATTTATTTAAAAAAATTATTATACTGAGGAATTAACCAACTAATAAATACTCACAGTACAAAATAACATTATTCAAAAACCTGAGCAAATGGTAAGCACAAAAATATATCTATTTATAAAAATAAAACATTTCTTTCGGAATTTGTACTAACGTTATATTCTTTCCCAAAGGCCTCTGAGTCTACTACGATGCTCTACCTCCTTACCTTATATACTGTAACTGATATACAGTAGAGCTCCAATCATCCAAACTACAATATCAAATTTGATTGACTATTATTGTGTATCAAATTTGTTTCAGAACTCAAGTTTGAGACAGAAAAGTTAATATGTGTATTATACAAATATACTGTATACGTCCACAACAAAGACAGATTTTGAAATGTTACAGACACTTAAAGTATCAATAAGTGTAACATTGAATTAATTCAACATGTATACAATACCCAGCACAACATAGTTTTATTTAAATACATTTTTGCATCTATCATATTTTAAATCCAATTGCCAAATCCTCAAAAAATAAAAATAAGGTAGAATTGATTTGGACGATTGGTATTCTACTGTAGGTTGAAAATGTTAATATTTTACTTTAAATCAAATATGCAACATACATTAATATATATTAAAATTTTGTTCCTTACAAATGTTCAATTCAGCTATTATAAATCAAATTTATTTTGTACTCCACGGTATTTGCCTGTATAGGAAAAAAATTCTTTGATTTTAGTATACTAATTATATTAAATGAAAACACTAAACAACTAAATGTATCACAATCAAAATACCAAGGTCACAGTAAACTGGTAGGATAAGTTTCCAATTTCAATTATTCAAGCATGATGGCTGACAGAATTTATTATTTATATAATAATATAAAGCGGGGTACATATTTATATATGAAAGAAACACAATTCATTTCCTCCTTTTAATGACTTTAGTCTGCAGGAATACTCATGTTTGCTACCAATATATCAAACTCTTGGAGAATCGTAAGCTCACAATTGAGCAAGAAAAATGACAATTTATTTTGTACATTGGCAACATAGCCTTTAGCAATCCATTTTTCATAAGCAGTACAAAAATAACACAAGATACTTAATATTTTAGTTTGTTATATTGCATACTTGAAATATTATGAAATTATCAGTAATTCCAAAGAGTACAACTATTTTGAATGGAATACATACAAATCTATCAGTTTTCTTTTCACAGCTTGATTGGGTTGATTTTTTGTATAGTTATAATGTGAGCTGGTCTAAAACTTTCTATACAGTTACATCATAATCTGACTTTTTCGTAGTAATCCATGGACACACATTAATACAACTAATTATATATGCATACATACATTTTTGAAAAGTTATTTTATACTTTGGCTTCCTTGGATATATATTTAATTGCTCTACCTAATGTTCATTAGCTAAGTTGAAACTTGCAGCGAGAATTTAACTAGTGTAACAGGGTTATCCCTATAAAGAAAATTTGGTAGACCTGTTATGGTATACACACAGCAAATTAAGAAAAACATATAAAGGATTCAAATGGTCTTAAAATATAATTTGAACTCTGTTATTTTTAAATAACAATTTATAAAATCCGATTGGTGATAATGTTTTGTATAATGGCAGAAAAATTAGAATACCTTATTTTGCTATTCAAAAAACTGAGCAGTTGACTTCAGTTAAAAAATCTTCAGTTACTGAATTTGGATAGCATTTTGGCATCGATAAGAACTGTGAAAACCCCCATTTAACTTTTTGAATTCATGCTTTTATGTAGGATACTAGTTTTTTTTTTTTTTATAATGACTGTAGTGTAAAATTGTTGACTTAAGGTTTTTGAAGTTTTACACATTGGAAAAACAACCACCATTTTCACCATATTAGATGTATAGCTACATAATATGTAGCTATTATTATATTATATATTATTATATTATTACATTACATATATTATGATATTATATATTAGTATATTATTATATTATTATATTTGTGGTGTCATAAAATATAATCTGTATAGCCTATAAGGTAAACAATGAATGTGAACATCTGTGTTCAAGAAATTTGAAAACACCTACTTTCTACAAAATAAGTCATAATCAAACACTTTTCTCTATGGATACATTTTTATTGGGTTTACAATATGAGTATTTTGATAAAAAATAAACCCAAAAAATACTTAAACAAACATTACTTTTGACGATTTTTACTAAATTTATTGATTACACATGATTATTAGATATAAATCATTGTATTTATCTAATAATCATGTATGATCAATAAGTTTAGTAAAAATTGTCCAAAGTAATGTTTGTTTAAGTATCTTTTGGTTGGTTTATCTGGCCAGGGCCCGTGGTAGCCGGATATTATGGGTTTTACTATAAAATAAGTCATAACTATTAAGGTTATACATATGACTGGCAAGAGAAAAATGTCAAACCAGTAACTGTCATTTGTCAGGTATAATTGTTTATGGTGTGTAAACTGTTAACAATGTTGTAAAATAATTGAAAAAAAAACAGCATATTGCATGGACACAATGTTTCAGAGTGTAATAGTGCAGCCACAGTTGTACACTCTCAAAAAGTCCTTAAAAGAAGTAGAATATGCTTGATTGGTTCAGAGAAGAACTAACTTGTCACAACAACTTAACATGCCAGCCACTTGTCAATAACTAACCATTAACCACAAACATTTGGAGGAGTCTTGCTTGTAAATTGTCTCTAACAGATTCCTGCAAGTATATAAAAGCAGTTAAATTTTTCTTATGTTAGGAAGGAACTACTTGTAAAGTGACATCATAGCAAAATTGATACATCAGTAAAATAGTGTTTTCTATAATAATTTAAAATAGGCAATTGTATTCTTCCATTTATGGAAATAAGATATATATATATAAATATATATAATTATATATATAAATAAGATATTTACAATTTTAATTCTATGTCTTAATTAAATATTATGAAGTAGGCCTACCATTACGTGAAAACATTTGTTGATTCTGGTTTTTAAAATAAACTTTCCTAAAAGTCAGTTTTCTAACAACTATGTGTTCTATTAAATTGGCAATGGATAACCAGAGTTACGCAGCATTCAAAAATGTATGTATACTTGTAAGAAACTAAATGTCATAAAAGTTTAGAACAGCAATGGATTAGAAAAATATGTTTATT